CAGGGATGGACACTCGGACAGGGCAGGGATGGACACTCGGACAGGGCAGGGATGGACACTCGGACAGGGCAGGGATGGACACTCGGACAGGGCAGGGATGGACACTCGGACAGGGCAGGGATGGACACTCGGACAGGGCAGGGATGGACACTCGGACAGGGCAGGGATGGACACTCGGACAGGGCAGGGATGGACACTCGGACAGGGCAGGGATGGACACTCGGACAGGGGTCAGGGGTGGACACTCGGACAGGGCAGGGATGGACACTCGGACAGGGGTCAGGGGTGGACACTCGGACAGGGCAGGGATGGACACTCGGACAGGGGTCAGGGGTGGACACTCGGACAGGGCAGGGATGGACACTCGGACAGGGGTCAGGGGTGGACACATGGACAGGACAGGGTCAGGGATGGACACTCGGACAGAGCAGGGATGGACACTCGGACAGGGGTCAGTGCCAGGGTTGGACACTGAACTCAAAGGTCAAGGGGCTCCGGGCACATCCCGCACTTTTCCCCACATTCCCGACATTTTCCCCCTCATTCCAAACACGTTTTTCACATTCCCGGTACTTTTCTCCACATTCCCGGTACTTTTTCCCTCACACCAAACAGTTTTTCCCTCCCCCCCGCCCCTCTCCTCTCACCCCGGCCCATTTCCCCTCACCCTGACCCATTTCCCCTCACACCGGGCACATTTTTTCCTCATTCCTGATATTTTTTCAACATTCCCAGCACTTTTCCCCTCACACCAAACACTTTTCTCCACATTCCCGGTACTTTTTCCCTCACACCCGACACTTTTCCCCTCACACCCGCCCCTCTCCTTTCACCCCGGGCCCATTTCCCCTCACCCCGGCCCATTTCCCCTCACACCCGGCCCATTTTTTCCTCATTCCTGATATTTTTTCAACATTCCCAGCACTTTTCCCCTCACATCAAACACTTTTCTCTACATTAACGACATTTTTCTCCACATTCCCGGTACTTTTTCCCTCACACCAAACACTTTTTCCCTCACACCCGCTCCTCTCCTCTCACCCCGGCCCATTTCCCCTCACCCTGGCCCATTTCCCCTCACACCCGGCACATTTTTTCCTCATTCCTGATATTTTTTCAACATTCCCAGCACTTTTCCCCTCACTCCCGGTATTTTTCTCCACATTCCCGGTACTTTTTCCCTCACACCCGACATTTTTTCCCTCAGACCCAAAACTTTTTCCCTCACATTCGAAACTTTTCCCCTCACACCCGACATTTCCCCCCACTCCGGACACTTTTTTTCTCATTCTCAGCCCTTTTCCCCTCACACCAGGCACTTTTCTCCACAATTCCAGCACTTTTCTCCATATTTTCAGCACTTTTCTCCACGTTCCCGGCCCTTTTTCCCTCTCACCCGACGCTTTTCCCCTCACACCCGATATTTCCCCTCACATCTGACATTTTCCCCTCATTCCCGGCACTTTCTCCCTCACACCTGACATTTTCCCCTCATTCCCGACACTTTTCCCCTCACACCTGACATTTTTCCCCTCATTCCCGACACTTTTCCCCTCATACCTGACATTTTCCCCTCATTCCCGGCACTTTCCTCCTCATACCTGACATTTTTCCCCTCATTCTCGGCACTTTTCCCCTCACACCTGACATTTTTCCCCTCATTCCCGACACTTTTCCCCTCACACCTGACATTTTTCCCCTCATTCCCGACACTTTTCCCCTCATACCTGACATTTTCCCCTCATTCCCGGCACTTTCCCCCTCACACCTGACATTTTCCCCTCATTCCCGGCACTTTTCCCCTCACACCTGACATTTTTCCCCTCATTCCCGACACTTTTCCCCTCACACCTGACATTTTTCCCCTCATTCCCGACACTTTTCCCCTCACACCTGACATTTTTCCCCTCATTCCCGACACTTTTCCCCTCATACCTGACATTTTCCCCTCATTCCCGGCACTTTCCCCCTCACACCTGACATTTTTCCCCTCATTCCCGGCACTTTCCCCCTCATACCTGACATTTTTCCCTCACACCGCACACTTTTCCCTTCACACCCCACCCATTCCCGGCACTTTCCCCCTCACACCTGACACTTTTCCCCTCATTCCCGGCACTTTCCCCTCATACCCGACATTTTTCCCCTCATTCCCGGCACTTTTCCCCTCATACCTGACATTTTTCCCCTCATTCCCGGCACTTTTCCCCTCATTCCCGGCACTTTTCCCCTCACACCTGACATTTTCCCCTCACACCTGACACTTTTCCCCTCACACCTGACACTTTTCCCCTCACACGCAGCCCCTATTTCCCCCTCACTCACCCAGCCGCGGCACCCCTCCGAGGCTCCTGGCCTGCCGCCGGCAGCCGGGCTCGGTGCAGCAGTTCCCGAGCACGCTCAGCGCCAGCTCCAGCACCCTCCGGGGCCGCTCGGGCCCCACGAGCTCCAGCAGCGGCCCGAGCCCCCCTCGCTCCCGGAACCGAGCGGGGCCCCCGGCCCGCCGCGTGTGCCGGGCGCGCAGCGCCAGCAGCGCCCGCGACAGCGACGGCTCGGCCGCGGCCCGCACGGCCTCCACGCACCAGCCCAGGGACTCGGACATGGTGGGGGAGAAATGGGGGAAAAACGGGGGAAAACGGGAAAAAAAAAATGTAGCGTGGGGTGGGGGAGGAGAGGGGAACGGTGGGGAGGGGGCACAGAGAGAGCGGGGAAGGGAGAGGGGGAGGGACGGGGCCCGCGGGGTTGATGGGAGAGGGGCGGGGCCTGGGGTGATTGGCGGGTGGTGCGTGAGGGGTAAGGGGCGGGGCGATCTGTGATTGACAGGCGGTGCGTGAGGGGAAAGGGTGATTGACAGGGCTGTGATTGATTGATTGATTAGAAAGGGGCGTGGCAACGGGTGATTGACAGGAAAGATACCGTTGGGTGATTGACGGGGATATAGGTGATTGATCGATTGATTGATTAAACAGACAAGTAGTGATTAGTTAGGCAATGATTAATCGATTGATAACTTGATTGATGGATTAGAAAGGGGCGTGGCAACGGGTGATTGACAGAGCTGTGGGTGATTTATTCATTGGGAAAGGGGAGTGACAATGAGTGATTGATTAAGCAAATATTAATTGATTGAGGATGGGATGGAAAGGGTTGGGACATGGGTGATTACCAGGGAAATTGGCGATTGATTAATTGATTGATTAATTTATTAATAGGCAGGGGATTAAGTGAAACACAAAAGGGGCGGGCAACGCATGATTGACAGAATAAATTATGCGGAAGTGGGTGGGGCATCAAATGATTGACAGCAGGCGGGGCTGATGATTAATCCATTCTGGGCGTGGCCCCACCCTCAGAAGGGGCGGGACAACAACTGATTGACAGTCGCGGGGGGGGCGCGGCCAACGAAACCTCGCGAGATTTCCCGAGATTTGGCGCCGTTCCCGCCCTTTTCCCCCCCCGCCCAACATGGTGGCGCACGCCGGGCCCCCCCCCGAGCCGGACATGTCGCGACAGTGGCGACAGTCGTGGCCTCGCCTCGATCCCGACACCTCCGAGTATTTCCGGAGGGCCCTGGAGACGCTGGAGGAGGGGCTGAGCGAGGAGGAGCTCGGTGAGAGGGGGTTTGGGGGGGGTTTATGAGGGGATTTGGGGGTCCCTGAGGGGCTTGGGGAGTTTATGAGGGGTTTGAGAGGGAATTGTGAGGGGATTTGGGGGATTTTTGAGGAGAGTTTGGGGTTTATGAGGGGATTTGGGGGTCCCTGAGGGGATTTGGGGGATTTATGAGGAGATTTCGGGGTTTATGAGGAGATTTGTGGGGTTTATGAGGGGATTATGAGGGGATTTTGGGGATTTATGAGGAGAGTTTGGGGTTTATGAGGGGATTTGGGGGTCCCTGAGGGGATTTGGGGGATTTATGAGGAGATTTCGGGGTTTATGAGGAGATTTGTGGGGTTTATGAGGGGATTATGAGGGGATTTTGGGGATTTATGAGGAGAGTTTGGGGTTTATGAGGGGATTTGGGGGTCCCTGAGGGGATTTGGGGGATTTATGAGGAGATTTCGGGGTTTATGAGGAGATTTGTGGGGTTTATGAGGGGATTATGAGGGGATTTTGGGGATTTATGAGGAGAGTTTGGGGTTTATGAGGGGATTTTGGGGTCCCTGAGGGTATTTGGGGGTTTATGAGGGGTTTGGGGGGGAATTGTGAGGGGATTTTGGGGTTTCTGAGGTGATTTTGGGGGGTTTGTGAGGGATTTGGGGTGATTTATGAGAGAGTTTGGAGAATTTATGAGGGGTTTGGGGGGAATCTGGAATTAATTGCCATTTTCTCACTCCTAACCCCCAATTTTTTGAGTCTAAACCCCATTTTGCCACTCCTAATGCCCATTTTTTTGCATTTAATTTCCATTATTTGGGCTTTAACCCCCATTTTCTCACTCCTAACCCCCAATTATTTGTGTCCAACCCTCTTTTTTTGGTGTCTAACCCAATTTTCAGGTGTTTAACCCCCATTTTCTAGTGTCTAACCCCCATTTTCTGGTGTTTAATCCCCATTTTTTGTGTCTAACCCCCACTTTCTCACTCCTAACCCCCATTTTTATTCTCCCAACCCTGATTTTTTTGTGTGTAACCCCCATTTCTTTGTGTCTAACCCCCATTTTTTGTGTCTAACCCCCATTTTTCCACTCCTAATTCCCATTTTTTGGGTTTAATTTCCTTTTTTTGGGCTTTAACCCCCATTTTCCTGTGTCTAACCCCTATTTTTCCCCTCCTAATGCCCATTTTTTTGGGTTTAAATTCCATTTTTTGTGTCTAGCCCCCATTTTTTTTTGTGTCTAACCCCCATTTTCTTGTGTCTAGCCCCAATTTTTTGTGTCTAACCCCCATTTTCTGGTGTCCAACCCTCATTTTTTTGTGTCTAACCTTCATTTTCTGGTGTTTAATCCCCATTTTTTTGTGTCTAACCCCCACTTTCTCGCTCCCAACCCCCATTTTTTTGTGCCTA